CTATTACTTTTTTGTTTTAATGCTAAAAATATACTGTATTAGCCTCATGCATTGAATGTGAATTCAATCCATCAGGTGATAAATCGGAGGTTCTGGACATCGACTCCCCGGATCTGAAACGGTTTCCTGAGTTTGTGAAGGCGAAGAGATACGAGTGTGTGCTGGAGCCCGGAGATCTGCTTTTTATCCCTGGTAAGACAAACATGTCCGCATTACTCAGATCTTCCTGCAATCCCACCTTCATGTATTCCATCATACTATCATGTAACTGTCAACCTAAACACAGGAAACTGTAGCACATAAATCCCAGTGGAAGCTTAATGTTAACACAGTCACTACTCGCTGCCGTTATGTTAACCACTACAAGGAAATAATCCAGCATCCCTGTTTTCCTCAGCCCTGTGGTTCCACAACACCCTGGCGCTGCAGTTTGGTGTGGGTGTAAACGTGTTCTGGCGCCACCTACCTGTGGACAGCTACGACAAAAAGGACCCGTACGGTAATAAAGACCCCGTGGCTGCGACTCGAGCCCTGCAGGCGCTGGAGAGAGCCCTGCACACTCTGGATGAACTCCCGGCAGATTATCGGGACTTTTATGGCCGCCGTATGATACAGCGCATCCAAAAGCGGACATACAGTGACAGTCTGACGAGAACAGCTTCACGCGAGGACCCTGACGGCACATTACCCAGCAGTCAGCTCACCAAACCTGGATAAGTGTCCAGAGGAATGTGGAGTAACCAATAAAAACAGCCCTGTTGCACTAATGCGATGCTGTTAAATGTGATTGTAACAGAGTGTGTGGAAGGATGAACTGGAGGATTAACCTTAATGTCTTAGAAGATGGCAAATATACAGTTGTTTACTTCTGAGAAAACTCCAGGGATGCAAGTTTCCTAAAAAAACTGCAAACTAGTTCTTATTTTGGATAATAAAATGCATTGCAAATAACACCGAAGCTTTTTCATTGCGTTCACAAAAATGACAAATTTCTTGTTTTAATGACGTCTTTCATTTTATAACAAGATATTCTTCATTTATAAGTGAATAAAGAAGTCTTGTTATAGCTTTCCTTTAAAAATGGAATTTGATATTAAGTATGACCAAAAATGTCATAACAATGTATAAATATCTTGTTACAACATGAAAAGGCTCAGTAAAACATTTCAACAATACGCTGCTGTACTTAAATACAACTCAATATACTGACACAGAATCAACTCAAGGTCTACTTACTCGTTTGTCCCAGAGCTTTCCAAACAGTTTCAGAGCTCTATATTGAACAGCAGCCTCCAATGTGGCGCTGATAAAGGAAACAGCCACGAACATGTGGAGAACAACGTAGTATGGGGAAACAATGAAAAGTCCAGGACTGAAACGCACATGTGCAGATACCAATATGGTTTGAACTTTTATTGCACAAAGATTACAGTTCTTTATGTTTCCTTACAAACATGTTAAAGCTTTGTAAACAGTGAAGCAGCATCTCCCCAGTGTGTTCAGTATCTCCTGCTAACACTGCTTTGAGTCCCCGTTGTCACATTTCTTCAGTTAAGTCTCAGCAATTAAGTGTGTGCACAAGAGCCAACCAGTGACTGACTATATGAAGCAGGAAGCAGCTCGGAGACGGGACTGGATCTCAGCAGCAGGGCGGTTACACGCTGTGGGTCAAACTGCTCAACGTTCAATAACCTGTTGTCAGGTCTGCTGGCTACATAAAAGGTACTACAACTGGAAGCTGGTGACTTTTTTGACTGTGATGATTATACTGCGTCGGGCGTGCTCCATACAAAAACTGAGCAATCCTGTTCAGTTTTACCACAAGTGACAAACACACCCAAACATTTACATTTCTAAAAATAGTTTGGCTTTGGATGCAAATGAGGGGAAAAGGTCAGAAAATACACTTGATTTTGCTCTTTCATTCACAACACACACAAAGCACTCATGTCTTCTCAGCAATGAGGGTTAACAGTCTTTGGGCCATGGACACATCATGTCTCTGTCCTCCACGCGAGCGAGGCAGGTGAACATCTTGAGTCTTCATGAGAGGCAGCAGGAAGAGGGCAGTGCAACATTTTGTCTCTCGCTACCACCAGACAACAGAGAAGTCTTCTTGGTGCCCTCCGTGAGGCCCATCCCCCCCTTTTAGCAGAGCAGTGCAGAGGTTCAAACAACGTCATGAGGTACACACACGTCCACTCCCTCACTTCATGTACTTTCTGGGTGCTACAAGGAACTCTCAGACAGAAAACAGACAAAGAAATGGCACATTGCTTGTTGGTGTTCTCTATTCTGTTGATATGATAACTAAGTTTGTTTTTTTTGTTCTTTTTCTTAAGGTTGCTATCAGGCAGATAGAAAGAGAATTCCAAAATGCGGGAAGATTTGTTTTCCTTCAAGGTGATCAGCCAGTTTTGGATAGAGAGGAGTTGGAGTGGATGCAGGTCTATGGAGTCTGTGCCATGCCACGGGTAGTCTTCATCTTCTCCAGTCTTTT